AGGACCTACACAGGACCCACAGAGAGAGGGAGAATCCCTCTTCCCTCAGCCACCTTCCACTTTTCCCATGCCAGCTGGGGGCCTGGCCACTGCTCACCAACCTTAGGGGCTGCACTGAGCTGCAAGGGCTTGCTCTGTACTCCAAAAGTGCCAAGAGCTGCAGAAAGAAGCAGTTTGAGGACAGTTTGCTAAGAAACAAGCGGGAGATGAGCACAGCTGCCTGTCGGAGAGGGGTATCCTGAAAAAGAACCCCAAAAATGAGACCATGGCTGAGAAACCTATATATGCGCAGGCGGCTCTGAGTATTGGGGAGGGGATGAAGGGGCTGCATGATGGAGGGGGCATGCTCACACAGCATGAGGAGACAGGCAGGCAAGTAGGCAGAGGCAAGGAGGGGATCAGGACAAAAGCAGCGTATTTACATAAGGCTGTGGATGGGGAGCACAAGAGGTGTGCAGAAGACTTGCAGGGGAGCAAGGGATGGGTTTCCCCTTGTGAAAGAGCACAGAGACTCAAGCAAGAAAATAAGGACCCCCACATGGATGTAATCTCCACCAGAGTTGGCTTCTCAGGCACAGACAAGGGAGTAGCCCCTCAGCAGCTGGGTGGTTGGGGAGGCTGCAGACAGCCAGACAAGATGATTGGGGCTGGGAAAACCTCAGCATGGAAAGAAGAGGGCTATTGGCAATGGCAGAAAGAAACTTGGCCATGTCCCTGCTTCATGACATAACGCCGGCGGGGAGAGGGCGGGCAGCTCCCATCACAGGAGGGGAGTTGGTCCAGGCTGCAGGATCAGCCTCCTCCCCAGCAGAGCCACTCATCCACAGACCAATTCCATTCCCATGTAGGATAGGCTTTGGGGGACCATGCTACAGGGAAACAGCTGGTCACAGAAATAGGAGGGAGGGCATCCCCCACCTAGGGAATGCTGTCCCGTCCCAGTTCTGTCGGCTCACTGGTCCCAGTGCTTCCCAGTGCAGTGCCGGAGATCTGCAGCTCCATCTGGTGGCTCTATGGCCAGGGCTGCTGAGGCTGTGGAGGAGAAAAGGCGCTGGGGAAGGGGGAATTGGTGGGGCAAGCAGGATGGAACACTCAAGAAACCAAATCCACGCGGCCCATGGATCACACAGGGTTTTCTGTTATGTACGTTATTTTTTTTAACCAATAGCCTGCAGGTTGCATATGTGAAAAAATGGGAGAATCTTACATCAGCAGAAAAAGCAAACCCACAGTGAACAGAGTAAAGGGCCCTGCAGGACACAGCAGGGAGGAGAGGAGAGGACTGCACCTCAGAAGCTGCACAGCCAGGGATTTACCTCTCTGCCACGTTCAATTTCACAGAATCACAGAATATTTTGAGTTGGAAGGGACCCACAAGGATCATCGAGTCCAACCCTTAAGTGAGTGGCCCATACAAGGATTGATGCTATGCAAGCTGCACTGGGTTTGGTTATTGCCTTTCCTTCAGCTCATCTTTCTTCCACTAATTCAGTTACAGAATCTTTGCTACCATATCCATCTTCAGCATCAAATCATTTACCAAGTCAGGAGAGGATGGATGCATCTGCCTCGGTGGTTATGCAGGTCTGTTCCTTGTTGGACTAATTTGACAGACAGTCCTAAAACCAATTTGAGTACCCAAAGTAGTTTGGAGGTTGTTCAATTCAGCTCCCACTATTCGAGGTAAGCAGCAGGTCCCCGGGTATCTGTGTTTCAGCTCCTCAACAACCCAGGCGATGTATGAACCCCAGGGAAAACGGCAGAGAAAAGCAAGCTATGCAGGTCACTTTGGGGGATGTTAGAAATCCCCATGTCACTCCAGCAGCCTGCATCCCAGCACAGTCAGGGGCCAGTGAAGCAGAGCAATCCAGAAAGTCGATGGAGTTAATAGAAGCCATTCAGCAGCCAGGCACTGCTGGCCAGACTCTCTCTGAGAGGTATCAAGTAAAAACAAAAACTATGTTGAGAATGGCACAGCCACATCGAGGGGTGATGCCTCCTGAGTTGCTCCTAAACCCATCCAGGGCTCGGCAGTGACCTGGTCACTGAACAGTTGTCACTGACACCTCACTTCCCCAGGGGATCGCTGCATCTCCTGGCTTCTCCTGTGGCCCCACAGAGCTGGATTTCCCATGGAATCCCTGGTGTCCCCAGTGCATCCCCCAATGCATTCCTAGGTGACAGCCCTCACAGTGCTCACTCTCACAAAGGTCCTCATCCTCGCCCAGCCCCATGCCCCAGCATGACCCAGGTGGACATGGAAGAGGATGACAGCTAGGCTGCCCCCATACTCACTGACTTCACCTGGCCAAGCCTCATTCCTCCACCATCTGCATCCAGCCCCAGGGCAGGACTTCAGGAGTGAGATCCTGGTCCACCTTCAGGTCCCACATCCTCTGGCTTCACTTCCTCTATCAGGTCATAAAATATCTCCCTCCAGTTGTCCATCTGCATGGTTCTATCTCTTCTAGGGGCCAGGCTTGCTGTGCAGGCACAGGGTGAGTGCCCAGGGTGTTCTGCTCCCACTGCGGCCTGCCCCAGGGAGCCAAAGCCTGAGCACAAGAAAGGAAACCAAAAGGAGTTTTGCCTACAGTGCCAGTTCTTCTCCAGCTCCTGTGTGTCTTTTTCCACATACAATGACTGGCAAGGGGCAATGGGTCCCTGGTCCTGCCCCTGTGCTGCCCACAAGGCATAGCCCACCAGGGTTGGAGTGGGGTGACAGTCTTACCTAACACAAAAAAGTCAACCAAAACAGACAAAGACGAAGAAACAAAAGGAAGCATTTCAGCAACAAGGTTAATCTGAGTGCTTCCTGCCACAGGTGATTCGGGATGTATTAATGGGGTCAGGAGAGCAATCAAACTGTTTATACGAAAAAGAAATACAGGAGAGGCTCTGAAATTTGTGTCATGAAGGTCTTACCAATCTCTGCTACCTCACTTCTGATTTTTCCCACCACTTGCTCACCCCAGGACCCCAGAGAAGATGGCCTTTAGTAGCCATGGTTGTATTTAAGGCTTATGATGTGCAGGCTACAGGCTATTTCAAAAGCTTTTTCAAGCTGTTGTGGTTTAAGCCCAGACAGCAACTAAGTACCACACAGCCTCTCACTCAGTGCAACCACTTTGCCCCAGTTGGATGGGGAGGAGAATCAGGAAAGGGTAAAGTCTGTTAGTTGAAATAAGAAGTATAATAATTGAAACAAAGTAAATATAATAATAGCAATAATAGTCATGAACAGAGAGATAATAAAGAGACGTAAAACTCAATAAAGATAAGTAATGCAAACCACAATTGCTCTCCACCCGCTGACCAATGCCCAGTCCATCCCCTGGGAGTAATTGACCCCTCCTGGCCAACTCCTCCTCCGTTTATTCACGGAGCAGGACATTCTATGGTATGGAATATCCCTTTAGCCAGTTTGGGCCAGCTGACCATGCTCCCTCCAAGCTCCTTGTCAACCTGCTTGCTGGCTGAGCATGGGAAACTGAAAAGTCCTTAACTTAGAGTAAGCACTACTTGAAACAACCAAAATATCAGTGTGTTATCAACATTATTATTCCCATATTAAATCAAAGTACAACATTGCAACAGCTACTAGAAAGAAAATTATCTCCATCCCAGCTGAAATGAGGACACAAGCACTCACAGACCAACTTCACCTCATTTTTCTGAGCCAAAGTCATGGCCAGAGGACATGCTGTCCCCACGGGTAAGTTCTGCAGGAGCCCAGGAGCTCCCCCACAGGAACAGTAAGAGTCTGAGAGGTGTCTGACTGCAGGGGGACAACAGGTTTTCTCCCAGCTTTATGATGCCCACCAGATCCCTAGAGCCCTGCATAGCAAAGTAGCAGTAGACAAGTGTCAGCATCTTCCCCTTTCCCCAAACCCTGTAGCCCAGTAAGTGCAATTTCCCCATGATCCAATTAGGCAGAGACTTTTTGGACTTGCTGCCACAGCCTTCTTATTCTTGCCCACTTTGGGCACCCTTTGCCTGCACTACTCCACTACAGGGTCCCCAGCCTGACAGGGGGTTGTATCTGCTTTTTCAGAGCCCTAGTCATAAAATTCTAGAATGGTTTGAGTCAGAAGGGACTGTAAAGATCATCTCGTTCCTGGGCAGGGACACCTTCCACTAGACCAGGTTGCTCAAAGCTTTATCTTAACCCAGCCTTGAATATTTCCAGGGATGGGACATCCACACCTTCTTTGGGCAATCTGTTCCAGTGCTCACCACCCTCACAGTAAAGAATTTCTTCCTGATATCTAATCTAAATCTACTCTCTTTTACTTTAAAATCGTTACCCCTTGTCCTATCACTATATTGCCTGGAAAAGAGTCCCTTTGTGAAAGCTCAGCACCCAGATGTTTCTGGAGGAGAAAGCAATTTCTGGGCCCCTGGTGACACAAGGGACATCTGCTGGTGCACAGGGCCAGGACACAGCGTACACAGCTCATAGGAGGCAGTGCCACCATCTATGGGCACCATCTATGGGCACCAGCAGTCGTGACTCTGCTGCAAACCTACATCTCTAGGTGCCCCTCAGCTGCTTTGGGTGCCCAGTTCCATCAAGGCCAAAGGCAGGGGAGACTAAGGATGTACCTCCCTGGAAGCTGAGCTCAGATAGTGAATAAAGGCAGCACCAGCTTCTCTCCAAGCTGCTCACACACACTTAGAAAAGGCTTTAGAGAAATTAAAAAGCACACATGCATCTTTAGGCTGAGGATAAAGGGCTTGTTTTATTCTTGCAAGTAATAAACCTCATCCTTTGCATGGGGTAGCTGAGAGTTATCCACATATGGAATATATTCCATAAGAAAGCATCACACCCACCAGGTTCCCCAAGACTTTGGGACAAGGTGCCTGGCTGAGGCATCCTGATGTGTTCCCATGCCACCAGAAGCCAGGAGAGCCTAGCTGAACCATAAGCCAGTTTTCCAGGCATTCTATCAGCGCCCCGAGCCATCACCTCAGCTTTTCTTTGCAATCCCCAGGTCCCACTACATCCTGGTGAAATAAACCACAAAGAAGATGATCATTGCCAAAACAAAGAGCAAAGAGCTGCCAATGCAGCAGAAGCGTTTCCAGGGGAAGTTGCCACTGCAGAGTGAGGGGCAGTCGGTCGAGCCTGTGTGGGGCTCTGAGCCCTGGCGTTTCAGGGACCCATCTGCATCTAACAAGCACTCCCTGTCAACACATTTCGGGGCTGGTCTTGACTTGGTGTGATGGGTCCTGTCCTTGTCTGCATCCGTCAAGGCCTTCCAGGCATCCCTGAAGGCCTCCCAGGCCTTCCAGGTATCCAGTGCTGGGGCCTGCCGTGACTTGTTGCAGATGCCGATCCTGCAGGCCTCGCAGTGGGCACTGTCGTGCGGCCCCATCACTGGTATATCCACCGCAACTTCCAGGAGGTCGGAGGACTGGACAGGCTTGTTGTAGAAATACTGGAGGATCTTTACCACCAGATTGTGCAGAATCCTCTCCACAGTCTCCACGCTGAAGTCAGGATGCTCCAGCTGGGGGTTGGGGCAGCGCCTGCATTCCTGGTGAAAGACTCGCATCCGTACGATGCCCCAACCTGGGCACTGGCACATGTGGAACAGGATGAGCACTTTGGCTGACGTCCATTTATAACAGCACTGGGAGCACTGAAACCTGAGAGGGCACAGATGAGACCAACTCATCACAGGCTCCCCATACTGAGCCAGAGGCTTCCCGCTCAGCCAGTAGGGATCAGGGAAGCCATGGCTCCTGTAAGCTTTACACTGAACTGTCCTCCCCCTACCAGCATGATGCCAGGCTGGGAAGTTCCCCACAGATATGAGCTGAGGGCTGGTCCCAACATTAAAGATCTTAGCAGCCAGGCTACCTGCTGGAATCCTTCCCCCACTGCCAAAAGCAGGGGTCCTTGGGGTGGGAAACATCAGGCCTCTATTTGGGACCCCAGCCCCTCACCTGTGCCAGCTCATTACAGCTCAGCAGAAAGCCAACATCAAGCCCAGGACTGGGTAAGACAAAAAAAAAGAAGTAAAATAGAAGGAAGGTGTGGGTGGAGGCTGCTGCGCAGGTGAGGATCTTGAGGAGTCTAAAAATGTGCAACCCGCAGGTCTTCATCTTGCACAATCTGGGCTGGAAACAAAGGTCTCCATTTGCTGCCACCTGAGCAGGGTGTCTGATCAATGCCCAGGGTGGAAATGTTTGGAATGGGGCTTCTCATCAGCAATGCAGAGCCACAGCACCTCTCTGCTGCGAGACCTCACACCCTGCAGGTGCAGGGGCTGCTGAGGCATCACCCCAGGTCCCGGCAGACAGTGGCTCTCACTGTCCTCATCCTCTGTGTCGAAACCCAGAAGATTTGGCTCTAGTGTGGTGTAACTACCCCTGCTAACCAGAGGAGCTCTTGCATCTTGACACCAACATGGAGAAATTCTGGCCAAATACCAGCTGCCCTTCGGCCCTGTGGAGGTTGCTGCACTCTTCTCCCCTCTAATTATCATGTTTTCCAGTTTGGCAATAACCCACTAAGATTTGAACAAAAACGGGAAATCCCCTTCCAGCCTCACCCACCTCCAAACTGCCCCTTTTGTGTCAAAACCTGTTTCCAACAAGCAAACTTTGAAAAAGGAAAAGATCCACATGGCAGCACATCAACCCTTTTCCCGCTCCAACAGGGACCAAGTCGGCAGTCCCCTACCTCCCAAGAGCACGGCGCTGCACAAACTCCTTCCAGTGAGGTCTGAGGGCCTGCACCTTCAGGGTGTCATCCTCCTGAAGTGTCCACTGCTGTGTTACGTGCATTTCTGCAAGCTTCTCTTTGAAAATGTCCTGCCAGGTCACCATGGTTCTACCTGGAGCTGTGGAAGAGGCAGTGACCATGCTTGCAGGTCAAGCTTGTGGCTTCTGAGGGCTAATACACACATGAAACTGTCTTTTCCCCAAGCTTTTCCTCTTTGTACAATGTCTTTGTGCTTGAAGAGGGGAACCTTTGCTCCCATGTGAGCAGCACCGCCCCCTCCCAATCTCTGGGTCAACAGTCCCTGCTGACGTTGCACCAGGTCCTGGCCAGGTAAAATGTCCCCCAAAGCAAGGACAGGTGGGTTTCATCAAGATCCACACATGAACCCCTGACCCTGCAGAGCCATGCTGTCATGATGCTGCTCTGTCCATAGGCAGAGAGGTTGGAAACAAAACCCCCTGCCAGGCTGCCCATGCTCATCACCGTTGTGGCAGTGGGGTGAACTGACAGTGATTGCACCCACCTTAGGAATAATGGAAGTGAAACCCATACAGGACCCAGCAGCTGATAAAGCTCCAGGTAACCTTATCTCTCTCAATAGCTGCCACCAACCATGGGCTATTTTTACCAGCTTTCAGCCAACTCAAGCAGAAAAAGGCCTGACATGAAACTGCAGGGTGGAAAGTTGGGGAGGACAGCACGGCACGTAAAACCAAAAGAGGTGAGGTGTGCTCTGAGCTGAGAGCACCCAGGGAAGGTATGAACAGGAAAGCTGGGGCTGCTTGCAGCCCTCTGTCTCCCAGGTCACCCCTCTCCAGGTGCAAAGGTCCCCCAGGAAATGCTACGGAGAGCAATGCAGGACAGGGAGCAGGAGGTTAGATAAGATGTCAAATTATAATTGGTCTTGATTTAGAGAAAGATCTGCTGCTTGATAAGGCAGGTTCGGCTTCGGGCAGTCAACATAAGTAAGTCCCAGCAACCACAGGTTGGCAGGGAGCCTCTGATCTTTGCTGCTGGAAGGGAAAAGCCGACAAGTCGTTTGTACCAAGAGCTCTCCAACACCTTCACAATGTGTGCTGCCGGTCCTGTGAGAGCAGAGGGACATAACAAGGTCCCAGGGCAGACCACATCTTCAGCTTTGAGGTTCTTTCCTCTTTTGAGGTCCTTCCACTCTTAATTACCCCTTGATGCTATCATCTGAAGCAGGACTAGGAGGAAGGAAAGAGCATTCTTGGATGCAGAGGGGCCAAGGTCTTCAGGATCCTTATGAAGGGGTAGAAAGCCCTAACCTGTGGATGGGACCTGAGTCACCCCCTACCCAACAGCCCTACTATGGGTACATGGGGACCTGCTTGGGCTAAGGCAGTTAAATACAAGCAGGACAGTGAAGTCATGGTGAAGGTCACCAGTGAAGGTTGGTCATTCCACCAGCCTTTCCAATGCTCACAGGTGGAGACCAGGGAACATCCCTGGCTCAGGGCTGGTACACAGGAGGAAGGGAGGAAGTAGCAGATCTCCTTGGCCTCTTCTCACTGCTTTCCCAGTGGATCTCTTTTCTACAGGTTCACTATAGAAGACTCCTTCATGCATCCTGCCACAGAGGGGTCTCCAGGGCTGCAAATCTTGTGGTGCAGAAAGTGGGAGCTAAGCAGCATCAAGGCTTGCCTTACAGTGGGCACCATGGCCTAGTATGACATGGTGACCCAGCAGCAGCAGGGTACTAGAATGGGGCCCCACCCTGCAGCATCTGCCTGCCCCCTTGGACTTCTCTATGTTATTGTCCAATATTTACTCTGGGGGGGTTTGAATGCAAGAAAAACGCAGGCAGACCTGCCTGTGTTCAACCCCAAACACACTGATCGCTTCATCTGGAGGGTCTGTGCTTTCAGCCCAGCTCTTCCTCCCCAAGACTGCTACCACAGGGCAGAGGGATGCTCACGATGGGACAGGCACCACTCCCCATGCTTCCCACTCCAGGGGCCAAAATGCTGCCCCTCAGTCACAGTGTTCAGCAGGGATCCAGTGGCACTCCTCGCACAGGAATAGGTCCCTGCCCCAAAACCCAGCTGTGATGGAAACCAGTCCCCTGTTACGTCATGGCAACACAACTCAAATCACAACTCACAATGCGCCGAGCCCTCACAGTCATCTCTGAGACAGAGCTGGGTGCTGGTCCCTCTATTAAAGATTTTGACTTGCTTTTACTAAAGGGACTTTCCCAGAACCACCCCCAGAGCTGAAACTGCTTTGACGTCCTGTTCTGTTTCACACACACGTCCCGGCTCTGCCCAAGCACCTTGCTGCTTACCAGCACCTGCTTGGAAACCAAAGCTGCTGCCACAGGGAGCAGCTCAGCCTCAACAAAGAGCAGGGATGAGCCCTGTCCTGGACACAGAATGACCCCACTGGGCCAGCAGCCCTTGGTGGAGACAGACCCTGACAATCCTCTCCACCCCGTCATGCTGGTCATGGGTCCTCCATGGGATATGTGAAGGAAGCACACAAGGTGCAGCCTGTGTGGTAATTTCCCTGCTGCTTTCACACAGCCTGAAATGATTTTTTACTTCAGCTCCCACCCCTGGGTGAGCAGCCCCTGCGGAAGTGGGAAAGTTTCCCAAAGTTCTTTCTCCTCCTCTTCATCTCTCAGTGTGTGTCAGCCTCCCTGTCCTCCAGGCCTCCAGCCCAGGCCCATGAGGATTCTCATCGGCCCATGTGCACCCCATCCTTGCTGGGACATCCATTCCTTCTTTTGGGATGGGTCATCCCATACACAGGTGGCTCCATCTTGCCAGCAGTCCCTAGGAGGGGCAGAAAGGGACATTCAACCCCAGTAACCAGGCGGGACTGCAGAGAGGGACATCCCCTTAGCAGTGAGGATGTTGTGTCCATGGGCATGGCAAGGTTTTCAGGATAGATGGACTGACATCTGAGCAACAGGACAGAACCCTAAACTGCTTGCTTCGTACTGGGGCTTTTTCCCACTCTGAAGACTTCCATCATATTTTCCTGCACTGGACACATCCAATTCTTTTCCATCAGTCATTCTTTCAGGACATTTTCTCCAGGTCATCAGGGTGAATTTGTTTTCTAAGCCTCCACTCAAATAGGCCCTACACCCTCCCTCAATAGCATCTTGCCTTCATGTGAGCCATGCTTCCACAGAAAACTAGTTTGATGTGTCTGCTCTCATGAGCTATTGATAACTGCTCATGGGATATGGCTTCTTGGGAAGCCATTCACCCACAGTGTCAGAATTTCCCATTTCCCCAATTTGCTTATGAGAATGTCACATAAGGCAGCACAAAGATAGCATCACTCCCGCTTTCCCTGCGGTACCCAGCCTGTTGCCCTAATGAAGAGAAAACGAGGTTGGTTTGACACATGTTCCTGCTAAACGTGTGATCTCAGCCGCAGCACTGCCCTGTCAGTGTTACTGCTTGGTGGCCTTACTAAATTGTTCCAGAGTTTTTCTGGGTACCGAGGCAGGCCAAATCATATAGAGTTTCACAGATCCTCTTTTTTCCCCTCCTTGAAGCAGATGGTAAATTGGGCATCCATATCCTCCTGGGACATAGCTCCATGCCAGCTCTCTGTGCCTCAGTCCCCCTCCAACCTTGCCACTGCTGACGTTGAATGGTTGTCACTCTGTTGTGGTGAAACCCATCACCTCTAGGGACAAGCAATAGCTGCAGGTTCCCTTCCAGGCTCAATTGCCTCCACATTCAAGCCCTTGGAGAAGGGTCCACCTATCCCAGGGTGGATTTGAGGCAAGTAGTATCAGGTCCTCTGGAAATAGGGGTATGCCCAAGCCAGATTTTAGAGAGGGCACATTGCCCCATCACCCTGGACTTAAAGGATGGAGTGGTATGCTGAGCAATGGGGAGAGATTTAATGGAGCAGGTGGATGTGAAGATGTGGGCAGGTATCAGTCCACATGGATTTGGGATACCTGACTTTCAGGTGAGCCTTGTGGTGGTCCCTCCGGTCGTAAGGAGAGAGCTCAGCACCCTCCAACAAGGCTTTGCCCCAGTTCTAAGGACAGTAGATTTGGTCTTGGGGCAGTGGAGCGGGCAGGCACAGGGCTCCTGCCTGGCCCTCTGAGCCCCCATGTGCCAGGACCTGGCCTGCCAGCACCCTCCTTGAGTATCACATCCCAGCAAAGGGAAGAAGAGAGAGAAGAAACTGGAGACGACTCAAAGCAAAACTAGAGAAAGCAAAATGAGGGCGGCGGAAGGAAACACAGATATTCTACAAGGCTACAGCAGGTTGGTGACAGGCAGGGCAAGGCTTTTGGTGGGACAGGACAGAGATGCTGTGGCCTGGACCCCTCGGGACACACCAAGGTTGTGCAAGCTGGCCATGGTTAGGGACCCAGGCAGCCTGCCCAACAGCCCATCCCTCCCATGACCAACGACACCACCCACTAGCTCACCCCAGCCTGTCTCTTCCAGGACTGACATCTGCTCTCCCAGCAAGTCAAGGCCATGGCAGTGCCTCCACACCACAATGCCACACAGACCAGTGCCACGCACAGACCATTAACCCAAATAACCCACATACCCCCTGCAGCACCTCCAGCCTAATCTCTTCCAAACCAAAACACATCTCCAAGACCTCCCAGTGATCAGGACAGTGCTCACCTGAAAATGACCTTACTGTTCTATGTCCTGACCAACCCTTCCCCCCTACCCAGCATCTGCAATGCCCTGTTTTTCAGGAACAGCACTTTGCTGCTCCATGGCACAGCTCTCCTCAAAGACACTGCTGCAAGTGTCTCTCCAGCTTCATCTGCCTGCCCAGTTTTCTTGATATATGGTTTATAAGTTCAGGTTTCTTTAAGGGAAACAAGTTTTTTTAAGGGGTGCTTGTTCGCATGTTGTTCCCAACCATCTTTAATCAAGGCTGGGGTATATAAGGAGCCAGGCTGGCTCCCAAGCATCATGTAGAGGGTTTTGTTTGCCTAGGTATAGCTCAGGCACAAGAAGTCACACATCCAAGCTGACAGGGATCAGTCTCAGGTCTCACAGAGGGGACTGGCCACTCTCCATCATCAAGACCCCAGGGTGGGACCAGGGATGAGGTTCTCCAGAAGTCACAGCTGATGTGTGGTCTCAGGGAGCTGACAAAGCATTTTGACACTGACATCGGTGACAGCCACTCCTCGGGGGAGTGCTGGGTGTCTGCGGTCAGAAGCGGTTGCTCTGACTGCCAGACCAGAGTGTGCAGGAAATGCAGCAGCTTCAGCACCCACAGCCA